TAATCTAAAATCTCAACAATTTGTCACCTGAAACATTTTGCTCATTGATTACCATTAATTTTCTCGTCTTAACCAAAACAACGGTGGCCATTTCTATTGCATGTCATTATTCATCGTTCCACAGTGGCGACAAGTCTATTTCTTGCTCCTCCTCCACCGCAATATCCCAATCGAACCCTCGCCGCTGCAACGCTGGCGGCGTCAGCAGCATCCCCCTCGCCATGTCCTCGATCAACTCCGGCATGTTGAACAGCTCATCCTCGTCCACGAACACCGCCGCCGAAGGTGCAGCAGCGTCCTCGGTCGCTGTATTCTCCTTCCTTCCCTGACTTCCTTCTGCATCCGACACGGCGGGCAGCTGGGCGGGCGCCGGCTTCGAAGGCCGAAACATCTCTACTGCCTCGGTCGCGGCCCGACGGACGTCCTCAGGAGCCGGCGACCGCGCGCGGGGCAGAGTCCCGGCGAGGTCCGGGAAGTTGAGCAGGGCCGACTCGCCGCGGAGCGTGATGGCGGCCGCGTCGTGCGCCAGCGCGGCCATCTCCGGCTCTCCGAACGTCCCCAGCCAGATGCGGCTCTTCTTCCGGGGCTCCCTCACCTCACACACCCACCGACCGCCGTTGCGTTCCCGCACGCCGTGGTACACCGGGTGTCGCGTCTCCCGGAACTTCTTCCGCCCAGCCTTCCGCTTCCCCGACGTGATCGGTGTGCCCGATGCCGTCGACGTCGATGAGCAACAGGAGTAGGAGGAGGAAGAGGGCGGCGACGACGACGACGACGATTCCTCGAACTCCATGTGACAGCGCTGCGGTCAGTGGAGGGGTGGGGGTGTTTTAGGCTTCCTACGAATGATATATATATCTATATAGATGCGAAGGCAGGCAGTGCGTCGACGGGAATCAAGGACGGCGGTCGTCCACGTAAAAGTCCACAGACGAGAGAGGCGGTGAAACACGTGCGCTGAGTGCGGCGCCTCCACACGAGAGCCCCCCAGCCGGTGGCGAACGGAACACGTGGTGGTTTTTGTATCGTGCTCGGCCTGTCGGGGTTTACCGTGCCGGCAAAGAGGGAGACGGGTGACAACCGAGCGTCCACACGTGATTGACTCGAATTGACCCCCGTGACGGCGCGCGAAACATGCGTGGCTTCGACCATATAAATCGTCTATGATCTATAACTAAAAACAAAGATCGAGAGATCTAAAGATTGAGAAACTAAGCGATTATTATTAATCATCAGTGTCTCTCTCCTTCTTTTATTAGAATATGTTACGATTTTAGGTTGGTTGAATAACACTAGAGAATTCGTGAGTTGATCAATCGACCTAACAAATGTGTGACACACCATCAAAAACCTACATGTGATCAACGAGATCTCCATACCCCAAGTCAACAGTGTCTTCGAATCTAAACTACGTTGGACACTGTTGCGTCGGTGAGACAGCAACAGTGTGATGTTGACGGCTTCAATGTGAGTATCGAGAGTGTTGCTGCGGAAATTAAGGAGAGTTGATTCACACACAGGTCAACCATTGAGAACGACCGAAAGAGGAAGACTTTCAACTCTATGTTTTACATGGAGAAGTGGATGAGATAAACACACGTTGTTAATATCTTGAAATTGAATACAAGACTTTCACGATGGTTTGACTGCTGGCTAAACTATGTCAAACATCTCACTAAGGTCTTCATGAAACAATAGTCTGAATCCACATCAATCCCCCAACAAGTATTTGAATGTCTCTCATGTTACATTAAGTCTAAATCAAGCGGTCTAATCTCAAAATCATTGACATTCAAAACACTTTCAAACTTGAATCACTAACATACAAAACGCTTTCAAACTAATTATTAGAACAAAATAACCCTTTGAACCGTAAGGTCTTTTGAGTTGACTTACCGGATGCAAAGTGATGTTTGAAAAAATGCTACATAGGTGGACAAAGTAACTCGATTTTGCTTTTTTGGGATGACTTGAAATGTGTGAGTCATATGTATGTCCGGGAGGCCGTCAACATGTTTGTGGAACTTTTCTAATGTGGTGTCGTAGTGTGATCTCGTCAGGCTTTATCATTTCAAACCTTAAGTCAAAGATTCCATGGAAAGTCAATTTCATGCCCTGAGATGTAAGATTTCGCAATGGAGACATGCCAACAATCCACGCCGGCGATTGTTCCTTCACGTTTTGTGGATCAAACCATACATTTCATATTTGTTCCATGTGGTGGCTACTGGTCTTATCACATACAGGCGATAGTGTCAAAATTTGGTCAGACATCAAAGCCGAAGCAAACATGAGTCCACCATCCAAATTTGCAAGTTTGATAAGATGGACTCTTTTTCCTTTTAAGGAAATAATAAAGAGTAATTTTAAAAAAACTTTAGTTTTCGCCTCATGTTTATTTTATTTTCATACAGTATCTTTTATTTTCTAATAGATAAGATTATTCGTAACTTTTGCTTAGTTGTCGTATCATAGTCGTCTATATTCCTTGCTATTGTCTATCGTTTTTATTGTTTCGTTTTGGAATGATGTTATATTGCCTTTGTCTCGATACAAGGTTCCACTATTGTCCAACAATGTCGAGGTGGATATGAGGTTGAGGGCAAGAAGACGACTACAATGTTGTCTTCCACCATGTTGATTGTCAGGCTCTTCTCATGCATCATAGTTGTTGAACTCAATAGAAGGGAAGGAGGCGATCACGATAAGACTTTCCCTCTCCTATCCCCCACATGGGCCATCAAGCCTCCTTCCCAAATTATTTTATTTTTTCAATTGAGCAATGACAAAATGAAAGTGAACGGTGGTCAACGCCTTTAGTTGGATGGGCTCGGAATTCAAGAGGTGGTAGAGGAAACTAAAGATGTCATCCTCAAATATGGCATTGCGAGAGACAAGGAAGGAAACAGTAATAGCCCGTAGCATGATATGATGAAAATGGAGGGTGAAAACCTTGCGACAAGGTCTTACTGGCACTTTGACAATGATGCATGAGGGTAAGGACAAAGGCAACAAAAGAGGTTAACGGTTTAAATGATGGCGTGACGACGACAATAAATAAGAGCGAGGATATGCCCATGGGCAATAAACGTAACAAATAAAGACGCAACAATAGTGATAAATCAAGAGCAAACGTAAGAGGGTAACCAAACGGACATAAATTATCATTTAGGAAAATAGACATTAAGTCAAAAATAAAGTAAACAGAGATTCATTAAAAAAAAAATAAACCTAATGTTTTTCTTAAAAGAAATTTACCCTAAAAATAAATGAAAATTTTAAAATATTTTATATAATAAGACGGGGCCGTTTTTCCCGTCTTATTCCGCACCTTTGGATGTCCTCCGCTTCCTTCTCCTCGTCCTCCCGTCGCTGTGTCCTTTCCCTAAGGTCTTCGATTCCGAAAGCTTTCATGGTTCACAAGAGCAACAGGCTTTGTCGAGGAGCTGCGGTGGATTTTGAATCGGGGTAGGTGTTTATGGCCGTCTATGAAGTGAAGTGGAGAAGAGAAGAGAAGAAGAATGGACAGACTCGTGGGCCGGAATCGAGGGAAGGCGATGGGCGATTGATGTTACTCATCTCATTGCTCCCCCTCTTTTTTCCTGAAGAAGTTGATATTTGTGATCCACGGGTTGAAACCATTTGTAGTTGCTGGCGTTCCAACACGGAAATTTGGTGATCGGTTCCATTCATGTGAACAAGAAAGTAAGTCTTTCCATCAGTTCCTTTCCCAATAATGATAACCCTAAATCATAGAAATTTTCGTTTGTTGTTCTTGTCGTCACTCCTTCACCACTAGACACAAATCTGTGGGATTCTGAATGCGACAAATCACTGACGTTTCAACTTCACCATGTCCCCTTCATGTCTGTGCCTTCATGTGAGGGTGAGCCTTGTTATCCTTTCCGACAGCTTCTCTACAAAGCATTGGTGTGAACCTCGTGCAGTGGGTGTGAATTTGATTTACCATGCTCCTGAAACAGCATATTTCAATCTTAAGCAGTTCCGATCAAGGTTTAGCATTACTGTTTGATGCCAGTTTTGACACCTTGTTGGACCAGTATGGTAACCTGTATGTTGCGTGATACTAAGTAATGCTTGTTATCACTAAAGAATAACAAAAATCTACACCAAACGGTAGCGGGCTATATGGTTCAGTATCATTCCTAGTCAAACCGGTAAATACCAATCAGTACATGCTGACTCGATCAATATTTTAACCTTGCTTCTGATATAAATTATTTTATTATACAATTCATTTTCATCTACACAGTAAGGAGAAGAACGTTTTTATTGACAAAATTAATTTGATGTTTGCCACATCGACTTGTGTCAGATGAAAATTAATTTGATGTCCTAGAACCTGACCAAACAGAACATGATTCCTTGTTTGTTTTTTTTCTCCCAACATATATCATTTGTATTTCTGAATAAGATAGCTGCAAAGAAATAATGCATGTATATATCATTAGCTGAAAAAAATATTATATACATGTATATATATATATATAT